ATGGAAAGTAGTAATAATAATAATAATAATAATAATAATAATAATAATAATAATAATAATAATAATAATAGGACCTCCAAGGGAACATTGTGTAGAGCTATGGGAGGAAACCAGTAGAAACATCGAGTACAGATGATTACTGAAGACCAAGGCTGAGGCTGACTCCACTGCAATCACATGATCACTGTGGAGGGGGGCATTCCAAACACCTTACTGAACACCTTACTGTAATGCATCACTTACAGGCCAGAGAAATAACACTGTAGCACCGTGTCAATCCAAGCAGGACTGCCAGGGCCTCCCTGCTCAGCTGGAGATCAGGCTGCAGGTACCAAAAGTCGTTAGAAAAACCAGGCACTGCCAGGTTGATCTGACAGGGCTGTCGGCTCTGGAGGACAAGTTTTAAAAAGTTCCCTTAATATGCATGAGTTAGGTTTTTGAGTGAAATAAAATGATAGTAGTTTTTACAGCAGCAGACAGTAACAAGGTCTTTGGTGGTGTGGCTTTGGAGTGCAAGAAGGGACCGTTGGATTTTTTTTACTACATAAGCCAGCATCAGGACATAATTGTTAGAGATGTAGATGGTGGTGGATCTGCATCATGGCTACTTCAGATAGTTCACTGTTCTCATTAAAAGAGGTGCAGAGACGTCTTATTGTTTGCCACTTGACATTTTGTTCCTCTCTTCCTGCTATTTCTTTGTGTTGCAGTCTTCACGTCCCCGCTTTGGTGTGAAGAGGAGGGCGTTGTGGCTCTCAGGGGAATTCATTCTCCGTTTGGTTTTAGGAAAGAATGTGTGATTCAGTCCACAAAAATGAAAAGAGCTTGAGACGTTGGGCTTGACATTTCCATAACTATAGAACCGCTGCAGCAGCATGTACTTTCATCCTCTGGATACTAACAAAAGAGCCATTCTGTCATTTGTGAAGACTTTGAGTTACAGATTGCACTTTCTTTTTTTCTTAACTGCTTATTACATGTATGTATGTATATATAATTTAAAATATAGGCCAGTTTTACATCTTTGTTTGCATATCTTACGGATGATCAGAAAAAATTTTTTTGACCTGTAAATCACTTTGGGAGTCATGGCATGTTCTGGTCTGAGTTTTGATTGGTGGTGGGGGGTTTATAGCTGGAATTAAGCTTTTTCTGACACTCAACTGTGACAGATGTTGATTTCTCTGTTATTTTGGTATAATCTGACTTATAAAAAGCATTTTTTTTGCAAGTTTTAAGGAAGAACCTAATTGATGGATGGGGGATGCTGATGCTGCGTAGTCTCTGTTACAGTGATTCAACAGGTTATTTTCTCCACGTTAGTCACATGTATATCTAAATGAAGTAGGCGACATTTTCTTTGTTCTGAACCAAGGTGTAATATTGTGACTGCTGTCATAGTGACTGTGGATGTTTTCATCCTCTGAGAAATATCACATTCTATTCACACACATATATTTTCTTGACATCTACTACAGTACCCATAATCATCGTGTGATCGGGACCGTTCTTGGTATGATCCTTACAGTTGCAGTGTCGCTCTCTCCACTTTTAGATACCTGTGATCCATTAGATCCTCAGCATCCTAACAGCATGTTTAAATGACACTATATTCCCTTAAACTCTGACTGAAAAAGACCAAAATTCTGTCTTCATATCTGTAAAAAAAAGAAGGCAGTCTGTAAAACAAATAAACAATTTCTCTTAAGAAAGAAGGTGAGAAAGAGATACAACACATTAGAAATAGTTTTCTTGCAGGTCTAATGCTGTCACACACCTCCAAAAAAATGCAAATCCTACATAGTTAATTAATACACTCACAATTCACACTGAAATTTCGCTGAGTGATGCAACTGTTTGAAAAGTCTGGTGGCTGTAAATCATTTGCCAAAACAATAGCAGGATTTTGATGGTATCAGGATCACCCTGCAGCTATCCAGCTGCTGCTGGTGTCAGCTGCATAACAATATATTGTATTCCAGTCAGAGCCAGCAAGGAAGCATCAAACACATACAGCTGGTGGTACACTGTGTACTTGAGAGAGAGACTGTGTGTGTGCGTGTGTGCGTGTGTGTGTGTGTGTGTTTAAAGGTTGTGATAGCTGGTTTTGTCACATTGTAAATATTGCGCCAACATCACTGTAGATGTGACCGTGACCTCAGGCATGCTGATGCTTTGCTCCTGTCTCTGTGCCATGCAGGCCTTTTTTTACCTGTGCATTGCCTCTGTCTTTCTGCTCTATTGTTTGTGTGGTTGAGATGGTACAACAACAACCCTCAAGTGTGACATTAAACTTAACATTACATATGAGACTCACTTTGATTACTTATATATTATCTAATAAAAGAGAGAGATGGGGGAGAGATTTGTAGTGAATGGAATGGACAGAAAGTAATGGTCTACCTATACGTGTCATAAATAGCTGCCTCTCCTACACTGACGATTGTTCAGCTCACAAAAACAGCTGTGTATATGAAATCCACTAGACGTAGCACTACTGCTGACCAGACTCCATTGACAAAACCAGGAATTTTACCTAACTAGTTATGTTTTATGGCAGTATTAATTCCAATACAATAGTCAATTTTTTTGTATTGTATTTGTGGCAATGGATGAAGCTAACTCATGGCTCTCTGTGTTTCCTCTTTCTCTCTCTTTCCCAGGTATCCCCAAACCTTCGCAACCACCACAGAGCGAGCCATTTGCACTGCTGCCCCCGGGGTCCCCGTAACATCCAGCTCCAAAACCCACAGCAAATCAGCAGCCACATTGGGTTGGTCGGCGACCACGTAAGCACCCGCGGCGTCAAAACTTCCCTGTTAAGGGATTACCACAAGCCTCAGCCCTCATCTTCTTGGGAAAAGCAATGAGAACAAATGGAAGCCACAAGCAAAGGTTAAGGCGGTGGGGTTGTGTGTGCCAGCTTTTTTCCTCTCTTCTCTTTCCTCCTCAAACAAACACCTCCCTAATTCATCAAGAGGTGGTTTTCTTTGGTGGTTTTCCTATCACTGCTGACTAACTTCCTTTTCTTTTATGTTGGTGTGTGTTTCTCAAAGCATCCAACCATGCCATGAAGCGAACACATTCCTGTCCCATCCGTATAACACACACACACACACACACACACACACACCACACACACACACACACAACACACACCACGCTCATATACAGATGTACAAATCAGCTGCCTAAGAGTGCGCTGACTTCATAAAGTTTCTTGGTACAAACAGGCCTGTTATACGGTCAGTTCCTCTCTCACTTTGTTTGTACCACTGTCATCAGACCCCGCATCCGCCGCCTGGGGAATCTATGGAATGTGTGTGTGTGTGTGTATGTGTGTGAGAGTATTTAATTCCACACTCAGCAGCAGCAGCTAATGTTTCTGTCTTTGTCCTATACGATGTCTATTATCATTGTGTTGTATTTTGGTTTTCCAGTGAACTTGTGGATATGTGTGTGTGTGTGTTGTCTACAGTGCCATTCTTCATTAATTCATTAAACAAAACCCAGAAGCTCACAATAAAGAATGTACCTTGAGTGACAGTGTGACACAAAGCCTGGAGTACATCCAGCCATCATCATCCAACCTGGTCATCAGTGGTTTCCGTCCTCACCCAGCAACTGTCTGAGTCATCCTGAATGTTTCATAGCTTGGTGGCAATTTGGTGAAAATCAAACTCTCCATACAGAGGATGGAGATCATACTTTAAAGTGACTCTTTCTTATTTCTAAGAGCCTGGAGATATTCAGCTAGCAAAATGAACTTTTTAGACTTCAGATCAGTCAGTATTTCGTTTTTGAACTTCTATTAGGCTAGTCTAAAATCAAAACACTGGATTATTGAAGGCAAACACACTTTCTCATTTGGCCTCCCAGCCTTGCTTTTTATAGTCTCTACAAAGCCCTGCTAAACATCCCTACAAAAACATAAAGGGAAAATCATGAGATGTAGTCGAAGGCTCAGGAAAAAAACTAGTTAGTGAGTGAGTGGAGAGCACTTGGCACACAGAAATATTGACATTTCTAAACGCATACTAAAATGTAATGAAAAGTGGTTCAACAGCTCTTCTCTTTTCCCACTGACCATCACAGTGATAGTTACAGATCGCTAGGTTGTTATGGTAACCAGATTACATTCGAGGTTCCTAGTTCCCATGGTAATATTTAGGTTCTGTATTCATCAGAGAGGAGTGTCCGTGTAGTACACCTCCACACAGTTTGTTTTATGTGTTCTGTCATTTATAGATGCACAATAGTACTCTCATTAATTATCACCTTTTATATGTTTGAGCTGTCCACATGAAGGGAAATCAAAGACTGTAGCCATGAGGGCATTGTATTGCACATGTGTGGAAACCAGGAATACACCAGTATGTTAGTCTATTCAGTCAAACTCCACCCAGTGATATTGATTATACTAATTAAAGAATTAATTAGTGAGAGTAATTTGATCAAGACTGTTT